TTGGTGTGCCGATTTTGATAGCATTTGTGGTATTGACAAAGTTGAGATCAAGGTGGAACATGAGAAATTAGGTGGATAACGTGCTTACTCTGACAGAATCCTAAGGTGTTATATGTGTAAGTTGCTCAATCAAATGTCCATGTGACGGCGTTATAGAGAACATCGAATTTCGAAAAAATATGGCCTTGGGAGATCCACTGAATGGAATACATTTTTTTCTTGGTGGTTTTTGAGGTGTATGTGGGTGGTTGTTGGGGGATAAGGGGTGTGGGCTGAGAAAAGGGACCAAATCTAGGTGGCTGAAGTAGAGAGATGAAGAGGGCAGTTGTTAGGATCAGAGTTTGTTGGTAGGAATCTTGAGGAATGACCGAATTGGTCAATATGCCCTCCACTTTGGTCGGCCAGTTGAACTGTAGTCATCATGGGGGTGGGAAATTCTTGTCGACTGAATGCGAGGTGGTGAGATATGAAGCAGTTCGATAATGCGAGTTGATCTCCAATCGATTTTTATTCATTTCCGGATTATTGGTGGGTGTTGGAATCGGAGGTAGTTGAAGATGAATTATGTGTGCTATTGGCACGGATATAGCAAGGCACTCAGAACACTTAATAACTGTGGAGATGGGTGTGTTGATATAGGGAAATTGGCCCAGATCGGGGAGTTTGTGAAAAGGAACATATGTACTGTTTAATGATTAATTCCAGGCAGAAGTTGGTTTTTGAAATGGAAGAAAGTTTTGTGGTGTTGGAGGTGTCAATGCGATTATGATGACGTCTTGGAAGAAGCTACTTGTCGATGTTGAGTTGATGAAGTGAACAAGCATGAAAGCCTAGAGGAAATTTCTCTAATAGCCGAAATTGAGTTTGGTGAGATGCTGATAGAAGTTTTCTGATTTTGAATGCCAGTTTAATTGTTTTATATCTTGCCAAATTATAAGAATCTTCAAGTTTTCAAACTGTCGATTTTCTGTGTGTTTTCCATGTGATTTTATGCGATTTAAATCATCTTTGTGACAGATAGGGCGTACAAGACATTCATAGAGGAGTAGCAAATACGAATATCAGAATTTGAGAGTGGACAAAATATGCATGACAAAAAACGATGAGATAGGGAGGTAGTGGGGCTTGAGTTTGGCAGTACCTGTTCCAATTGAGGTGTAGGCGTTGTGTTCCCTTGACTGTGGGCACACTAGAGAGGTTATAAACTTAATTGAGATTTGAATGGCTTATAGCGTGAACATTGATAATATGGTCTTGAGATGGCATTATGACACGTACACAATACTCACCTTACCTTTTCTCTACCGTTGTGTCTGTCCGTCTCTTTTGCGTCTGCAAATCACTCTTCTGTTCCCCACTCCTCGAATTTCTGCTCCTTTGATGAACCTTCCCTCTGTGAAGCCCGAAGTCAGCTAAATTGTTAATGATAGCTACCAAAACGCCTGGCATTTGAAATAAGTAAATGATGGATTGGGCTTAGGTTGTGGGAAGTAGATATAAGAGAGCTTTACTGGTTAATATGGAAGAAGCTTTTTTGGTTTTTTGGCCTCTTTGTTGATGTTTGTCTATTTTTTATCACTTTTCTATGAGCGTCGGCAGAATATTCTTGTGCATAAAATTGGATGACCATGAATGTATGGAAGGAAGAAGCTTGTGAAAACATTTATGAAAACATTCGGAGGAAAAATGGATTTTATTTTGCTGTTATAATTTCTAGTTTCTAGTTTTAGCTAGATCACAAGTAAATATTTATCATGTAAATTTTCTGTTTAAGATTTATGTAGTATTCATGGGATATTCGCATATTTTTTGGATAATGAAATGTTTACAATAAGGAACTTTAATTTTCAGTAATACGTGCTGAAGTGTAAATTGTTTCAAATATACAACATTGGATTCTTATTTAAAACGTAGTACAATGTTTTAACATTCACACGTACTTAATTCAATAAGTACTGATCCCAAACACAAGGTCATGACTTTTGTTATTCAAAAAATCAATTCTCCACACGAGAATTTAAACTAAACCAAATTTCCACTGCAAAATGCCTCTAAATTCTTCTGAAGACCGACGATACTGCCCAGAATATGATGAGTGTAACTGGTAGGTTTGACGACTTTTCTGACATTTATCGGTGTTCCAGGTTGTCTCTAGCTGAATGTCAAATTCCATCCTCGGTAAGTGCCTTAAGGGAAAGAAATGGTAAAATAATTTGCGCAAATCAAAAGGCTTATGATTATTTATTTTGATTTAAAGATAATTAACAGGCCTGGTGAACATTTTAAGACGTACCTAATCGACAGGAACCCTCACGAGCCTTACCGTTTGTGGAGGTATGATTGGAGAGGATTTAGGAAGGATGATTGGCATACAGCTCCAAATGATTGCTTAGAGAGGGTTGAAAAGGTACCTTCATCTTGTTATTGTCACTTTAAAGGCACATTTTGCATGATTATTATCCCTGCTATATTTGGTTTAATGTAAAACAGAGTCAAGTTTGAAAGTTTCTATACCCTTGAATTTGCTTCACAGTCTATTTCTTCTTCAAAAAATCCAAAACTGAAATATTTTTCAATTCTTATAATTGCAATATTGGTGCAAATTTCATAACGTTGAATAGCTAACTTTTAGCAGATGATATAAAATACTTCTGTTTGAAAGCAAATTAGTTCAGGAAGAATACATAAGTGTTGTTTATGGATTTAATTCGGATTTCCGCACTAATGCAAAGCTTATATTTGCCATTCATTTAGAAATTCTATGAGCCATTTTACAGAAGAAATTATCACGAATTGATTCCGCTGAAAGAGATGTTTGAAGACTTTAAAATAAACCATCCGGAGAGACTTCTGAGAGAATATCTTTATCGGGATCCGATGTTAGCCCTAAAACAAAAGCTCAGCCCGAATGCCTGCTATAGTCTTTGCAATTATGAATATAAACCCCCATCGTCAATGAAAATAAGTGACAGGGAGATTAAACGTAACGTGTTCATATCAAACAATTATGTCAATTTTGATGATGGCTATGCAGTTGATTTTAATCATTAAGTTAATAAATTTTATTAATAAAATATTTTATCATTGTATTCACTTAATCATATTTCATATATAAAAATTCAAAGATACAATAGAATGGGTAGGATATCAGTACCAAGACACCTACGTGGTGTGGAAAAAGGTTTAAATACAATTTTTGAGTGACTGGTTGTGATTAATGACACTGCTTTATAAAAATAGAGATAGATAAGTAGTTAATAAGACAATGAGAATAACCAACTTATTGTTTGGTAAATATAAATCTAATGGTTAACGTACACAACGACAATAAAGCCAACGATAAGCTCAAATAAAACCACTATCTAGCTTTAAGAAGCTGAAGTTGGATATCTGTTCGAATTGTGCAATCCAATAAATTAGATACAATATCTATAATAAATCAAAATTTAATAATCGAGATCCACATGGTTTTTATTTTTATGCCAAAATTATAATACCAATGGATTTACTATTTGCGCACACAATAACCTCAAATTTTGTTATAGCTAAGAAGCGCAAACGAAGCCTCATTGAACTCTATGGGTTAATAATTATGGCATATGTTAGTTCCCATAAACAAACATCGCAGCTAACAGAAGAAGATCAAATTAAGATATCACAATTAATTAAATTAATTTCATCATGTAAAAAGTGTCGCGATTCTTCAAAGCAGGAAGGGTTTATATATGAAACTCTTCCATTATTTAATGAAGTAAGCATAAATAGTTTCTATTTTACATTTAGGTTTTCTATTCCTATTCATTTCAAGTAATCTTCGAGTATTTTCCCGATGTCCACATATTTTGTGCCTTAGTATCTGGTCTATTTGTAAAAGAAGTTCGAATTCGTGCTATTGATCAAACATCAGTCGACGGTAGCAAACTTATTGCTGCTTTCATCGAAGATAGTCTGTCAGATTCCCTTAAATCTATTGAACAGTCTCAATATTCCAAATTTTATCAAATGCCTAGAGGAAATCTTCTTCTCCTCACACTGGGAAAACTTTCTTGTTGCGCAAGCTTACTCGAGTGCATGGCTACAGCTAATGTTCCATCAACACTTGTTAAATGTCTTTACATTTTTCTCGATCTTCCTGCTGTTTTAACTTCTGAAGCAGCGAATAACAGAGCACAACTGCAACGCAAATTTGCTCAATTGCTGCAACATGTTTGTCTATCCTCAGTTGCTGTTGAGGAGATGGTTAATGCGGATGCTCTAAGACACCTTTTCAGCGCTGCAGTTGATCCGTGTCAACTTGCGAACGCCTTTTGGCGAAAGAGTAGCTGCATGATCCTAACCACATTGGCTCAAAACTGTCTGACATCGCACGTTGTCCAGTATATTCACGGTAATTTGCAATTTTTGAATCGATTATGTCACTTCATTGCAGATACTGGATGTATTACGGATTATGTTGAACGTCTGCAGCAAATGCAATTGCCCAAATCTGATTCTCTGGAAGCATTTATTTCTCTTTTCCAAATATTATCTGAGTCATGCTTAACATCATCTCAACTTTTGGATGATTTTCATACGGCTGGTGGATATAATACCATTTCAGATTATTTACTTAAGTAAGTTTCTAAAAAGCTATACTTAAGCACTCTTTAAACTGTATTGATTAAACGGAATTGAATCTTGGTTATTTTATTTGATTCGTTTATACATTTTAAGAAATCAAAAGTATTATTATTCCTTTTCATTGATATTAGAAACCTGTAAATTCGATTTAAGTGGAATCGCTGCTTACTAAGGTTATAGTGTTCGATTTCCAAAGCTTCTTCTTGTGTTTAACGTTTGTCTTCCTATTTTACTTCCTATTTTTCTCCCTATTTTTTACTTTTATGATTTACTTTTGCTATTTTTTGTTTGTTAGTTATTTTTTGTATGAATGGTTGACCGATATGGAATGAAAATGAAAATCTGCAAGCAAAGATCAAATTTTTTATTTACTCGGGTTATGCTTGTGTTTAATCATTGTAGTTTTGAATCACCCATGGCTACCTTAATAAATATGTACTCCTGAATTCTTGTTTTTTTAAAATTTATGCAATAATTTATGGGTCTTCTTTTCACTACCAATTTATCTGATTCGAATATTGGTGACTGGATAAATCTCTAAACTGTCTTTCTTTAAACAATGGGTGCTATTATTTGGTATGAATGTTCCGTGATAAATATATTCTTACTATATTATACTATATTCATACTATAGCATGATATTAGTGATTAAGAAATGATTTTTCATATTACGTTCTATCACATGTTTTGGGAATGGTATTTTTTGTCTTTTACTATGAATTCGATCACGCGTTGATCATAATTTTTTGTTGTTTTTTGGTTTTCATGCCCAACGGCATGTCTTGATTGATTACTTAGGGAAATTGGCAAAATTACGTGCATTAGTTTTTCTACACATCATCTAATCCAGTCCCAACAGGCATACCTTAAATGAAGCCAATTATTTGTGTTTTAAAATGATCGAGACTTGCGCGTCTGCTAATGAGATTGATCACCCAAATGCGATACTGTTGATCCTAAATTCACAGTTAATATTTATTTATTTATATCAAATGGTAGGCGTCTTGATGGT